TCAAGCCCAAGAAGACGAAAAAGAAGACCAAAAAGAGAAAGACCAAGACGACATTGTATCTACCGCCGGAGATTCAGCGACTGCTGGAGACAGGATCCAGTGCCAACGCGCTATCCGACGACAGCGATGATGACAACGAGTTGTTGGCCAAGCACAAGCGCGCCAAAAAGGCGGCAAACAAGCGGCCTAGACCCTCGGAAGCCGACAAGGACTCGGTTCTGTCCTTCCTGCCACCACCCAAGCACGAGCTTCCAGTGTCAAATACAGTGGGTAGTGCTGGCGTAGCCATGCAAGGGAATCAGGGGCAGCAACAGGCTCAAGATCAGGCGCAACAGGCCACACGGGCTCAAGCAGATCAGCAGCCAATGGACGAGGCGACAGCGGCGGCAAATGCGGCGGCCTGGCAGCAATACTACCAGCAACAACAGCAGTATCAGGCTAGCTATTCTGCAGCTTCTCAGGACTTCTACGTTGCTCAGGGGGAGGACGACGTACCAGGAGGCAGCTCCAAGCGCAGGAGGACCCGGGAACGAGACATTGAGAGAGCTCTGCAACAGGGCCACTTTGAGACGGTGGCGGACCAGATCAGGGAGGTGCAAGGTCCAGTGTCTCATGCCTGGCAGCCGCCAGTTGATCCGCGTACAGGAGACCGCGGAGTCAAGGGATCCAGTGACCAGGAGATCAAGGTGAACGCCAGCTTCTGGAACTCGCAAGCTGGCACTACCGTGTCGTCCAGCAAACCCAGCCGTCTCCAGAGACAGAGGCACCAGCTGAACCAACTTGCTTTCGACGCAAAGGTGCGTGACTTTGAACTGCTGGAGAAGCGTGGAGCCTCATTGAAAACGAAAAGGGAAACGTATGCCAAGTATGGCTGGTAAGATAGGAAAAGGGTCGAACAATAGTGTCACCGAGATGAAGTACTACTTTTAAGTGCTCGATCTGTCCAGTCCTCCTAGCTAAAAACGGCAGCTTTTGTTTGCTTGTCCTCACTGGCCGACACGTCTTCAGTTTCTTCAGGGAGATTCTCTTCCTCGTGCTCGTGCTCGTCGTCGACCCCTTCGTGCTCTTCTTGGTCCTTCTCCTCCAGGAACTCTTCAGTAAACACCTCCATCTCGTGCTCCATCCGAGCTGTCTCGGCTTTACTGACCTTCCCACGGCGACTGGCACCTAGCGTCTTCAGTTTGCGGTCTCCCTTGCGGTGTCTGTTTTCACGCGGGTAGACCTTCCGTACTAGCACAACGTCAGGCAGCTCTTCCTTCAGAGTGTACGTCTGGCTCGAGCCAAAGATGGCAGTCGACAGATCGTAGCCCTTGACCGTGTCACCGGCAGACAACACAACACCAAGATGTGTACGCACGTGGAACGTCGTGTCATTCACGCCAAAGTCGCTCTCTCGAGCCACTTCCACGTCAGCCACCACGAACTTAGACTTGCAACCTCTACCAGAAGTCGCAACCGGTCCGACGTGGACGTGGCGCAGCTCGTGCGGATCCACAGGCTCCACATCCAGCACGACGAACTCGACCATATCGGAGCTGGTTGCAAGAGGAAGGAACGGCAACTTCCAGTATCTGTCGGTCGGGAGCTCGGCCTTCTGTCCAGACACTGGATCCAGCAAATGCACCATGGCGGTGGTGCGTGCACACAGCGTCACGTCCGAGATATTGCCGCAGCTCTGCGCCAACTTCCTAGGTAGCACCAATAAGTCGTCCTTGCAGATGGGACTCAGTTCAACACTGTACGTGAGCTGCAAGTTGGCTGTCGCGTTGTGCACGTTCTCTGAGATGAGTTTACTGGACGACTTGGAGCGCATAGGCACGTGAGCAGTCAAGAAGTGGAT